TGTAGGGTTTAAAATTACAGGTGAATTGCCTCTGAAAGCAACAGGGACAGATTAAACACAGGTGAAATTTATCCCTTTGAGGAAGCCCATTAGGTTTTGGGGCTTCCTTTGATAAAAAGAGAAACACCTCTGCAAATACTTTCTCCTGCCTTATTCTTCCTCATAACTTAGGGCTTTTGCCTTGTTCTGGATGCTCTTCATATAACTAAAGTTTATCTCCATTAAAAAGAGTCTACTCCAGTAAAACTTGCTGATCTAATAAGTGAATTCGAGCAGATCATGTTTCAGGAGAGTCTGGGGCAGAAAGATACTCTGTAGATTCAGGTGAAATGGTATTGAGGAATGCATGTTTTGGTGTTCTGTCTCTTTCTGTGTTTATTTGCTTTCAGTCTCAGTCTCAGTCATGTGATGAAGCAGCTCCTTGCATTTGAATTATGATGGAAAATTCTGAGCTGAAATGAATCATTTTATTACCAATTTGAAAACTACTATTTCATTGGTTTAATTTAGAAGTAATAGGGTCATTTTTAAAACAGTTCCACATCTTAAGTTTTCTCCCGTTATTGTCATTAACTGTAATGGGGCATGATTTGAAGGCCAGATGGGGTCATGTTGTGCGATCTCATGAAACAGAGCAGTGGACCCCAAAACTATGCTTTCGCCACAAGTTTTGTCTTATGCTTCAGAAAGCATACAGCTGACATGAAGGCATTACTTTGTCCGAAAGCTATTCTGTAAAAGGAAATAGTGGGAGGGTCCTCATGCTTCCTTTATACATGACATTCATTTTAGTTACACAACAGTAAGCCTGTATTGTAAGGATCTACGTATGCATATCCTACCCAAGTCATAAAAGCACTCTTGTTTTCCCAATTGCAGAAGATGCAACCAGATTTAAACACCTCAGAAAATATGTTTACTTATATGAAGCAGAAACATCAAATGGGATCACGGGAACAGCAGATTCTCGAAGCGGTTCAAAGATCACTTGCAAGGTAGGGAAAGAGGAGTAAATACAACTAATTGGGACTGTATACTGAATAACATGGGAGCTGGCAGCTGGGGATCACCCTTCAATGTTTTTCCAAACATGATCATTCTTTTGAAAGGCACATGTTGAGAGTCCTGAAGACTAAGCCCTCCCTGTCCTAGACAGAAGGCACTGAGGATGGCAGAAGTCCTTCATACCACTGTGCCAGTGCATTGCAGTCCTGATCTGGCTGTACTTTTACATGAGAGAGGGGAAAGACCTGGTAGTTCAGTTTTCCTTAGCTCCCCGGCTGAGTCTACTAATGTCCATCAAACAATTTTAGAAGTTGAACTAAAACAGCTCATGGATGCCATGAAGACCACTTGATAGCCTGCTGATGGTAATAGTCAAGCCAGGATCAGGGCTGTAGGAGTAAAAGGTCTGGTAGGCCATTAAACTACCCAATGTCCCTCCATCTTGCCCAAAACTTTCCCATCATGTTTGGTTTTTTTTTTAATGGAGTAACTGGGGAAAATATTTTTTATTTAGCACACAGTGTTTTGACAGAGTCTAAACATCAATCAGTGTAATGATTCAAGTTTTCATACAGTTCTTCTAGTACTATGTATTTTCAGAACCTAAGTTGCTTGTTTACCCTGTATATAGTATACTCCATGCCATTAGCCAAGCAAATACCTGCTTTCATATCTTCTCCCTCAAGTTACCTTAAGCTATTTAGAGCACTTTGGAATATTTCCCAACAGCTGCCAGCCGGGTGATAATGACACTTTACAAAACCAAGGAATACAATATTTTCAAAACTGTAACTGGATGATCCTGGAAACATGATAAAGAAAAAAGGATAAACACATCATATTTGTGTTTTCAGGTTGAACTGGAGGTACCACAGCTGTGCTACTTCATCCTGAGGACAATGCATTGCTCCCTAAGGGAGACATTTGGTGTTGACACTGAGGGAAGGGCCATGCTGAAAAAGTCAAAGAACTCTGAGGACTTTGCAAATGCCATGTCCAAGTAAGCAATATCAATTATCATCAATATTTATAGCCTTAACATGGAACAGGCTGCAATGTTACAGTCCACTCTGACTATGTTTTTCCAGGCATAGAACATATTTCATGATAACATGGTAGATTTATAAGCTGGTTCCACAGCAAAACTCTCCCTGATGTAATTTAGGGCTAACTTGGCATAGTTCTCAACTGCTAGTAGGGAAGTTTTTTTTCCATCCAGAATTTTCACCTGGAATGTTTTTGTCATTTATATCATCTACATCAGGAAACTGTTGGGTAGTCCCCTAAAAGATTATTGCAAGCGGAATATTCCTTCTTGTAAGCAAATTCTCAAATGGCTGTGTGCAGCCATTTTAAGATAATTTTCCTTTGCTGACACGGTACAAAGACTGTGCAATTGAAGGGGATTTGAGACTGAAGTCCAGATGTCCTATCACAGTCTTTAATGACCTATGCAACTTATCTTTTCCTTACTTACCTGCTTTCGTAAGTTATTGCTACTACTCCCTCCACCCAACTAGTCTCTAGCGCTTGTCAGTGCCTGTTTTACTCGTGCACCTTCATGCTTGTTTCAGTGCCTCAGTATCCACTCCATTTTGTTTCACAAGCCATAGATCTCAAAACAACTTGAGACAGTGTTAAAATATGTTTTTCAGAAAACAATCAAGGCTTTATTTAAAGACTGCAACTAGTAGAAAATCCTTCCCATCGTTTTGTAGGTTATTGCAGTAGTTAATAATTACCTCATTCTAAAAATTTTCTTATCTCCTCTCTGAATTTGTGCAATTCCAACTTCCAGCCATTGCTCTTGATATTTGCTTGTCCTTAGACGACATAGTCTGGTGATATTAGAATGTCCTTGGTTAGAATTTTGCTGCTTTAATAGTAATACTCTCTAATAGTAACAATAAGGAATAGTAAATAATAAGAGACCGAGATAAACATGATGCTTCAGCGATAGCCCAGCAGTTTATTGATAATATGTCCTAACATGATTTCATAATAATGTTGGGGTTTTTTTGGGCAGGCATGAGCTAAAATTCAGGATTCAGGATGGAACAAAAGTCAAGCTGTATCCAGAGAAGGATGAACCTCTGAATGTACTGAATCTCAAGAGAGGGATCATCTCAGCTCTACTTGTGCCAACAGAAACAGTAGAAAACGTAAAAACAATTTCAATGGTAGGTGTTTTGAAAGCATTCACTTCATTTTCTTAACAAATGGAAGAAACCTCACCTAATAGAGTTACTCCTGAACATCATTTTCAAAAGACCATGAAATTCAGATGAGAAAGGGTGCCTTTCAGCTAGATCAGAAAATGTCTGACACCATGAACAAAGACACTGATTTCTTTCTTCTTTCTAGGATACTGTATATGGAAAGTGTGACAGTGAAGTTGAATTCAAATCTAGAAAAGGAAATGTTGCAGAAGATATTTCAATTAACAGGGACCTGAAAGCCTGTGACAACTTCAGTCCCATCAGAGATTATGTCAGCCCTATTGCCATTGTAAAGGGACTAGTAAGTATACCATTAAAAATTATATGATGTAACATTCTTCACTACATCACTTAAAATGATAAACAACTACTACAAGAACTAAATTCTGTATTTATCTTCTAAAAGCTTAAACAGGTTTTCTGCACCCTTGCATTAGGTCAGACTGTGGTTTTGTTGGCAGTCAATAGAGAAAAACAGATGCAGAGGAAGAGTGTAATTACCTTCTTTCATGTTCTTCTCATTGTTTTTTAAAAGAGAGCTTTTCGTAGATGGAGTTAGTACTATTGATTACACAATAACCTGTCAGATCATATCCAAATTTTTAGTTTTATGAGTCAAAATTTTCAACATTCCAGTTTCATGTAAAACACGTAGTCCACCAAAACCCTAATGTGTATATGATGTGCAGGAGGAGAGGGCTCTAAATGCCCTGAAGTAAATGGTTTGACACGCTGTTCAGGCTACCTGTTAATCTACAATGATGAAATGCGGTTGCTTGCATGAATATTGGCAGATTTCTTCCTGGTATCACGGCATCTGTGCTTTTGAGTGTTTTCCCTCAAAAAAAAAAATTGGGATTTCATATCATGCTAAAAACACATTTTATAATTTCTGCCATTTCTACAGCTTGTTGTAGAAATCTTTAAAATTTGTGTAATAAGAGTGAAATTAAAAAGAGCATCAGCAGTTACGAGGGCCTGAACCATTGTAAAAATTACAAACTGGTTTCTATGAAGGAGTCCTTTGTTGTAGGCAGCAGGGGATCAATCATGAAGTAACTACTAAGCCAAACACCTCAGTAAGGCCTAAGGGAAAATTTCAGTGGGATGTTTTGCCTGTGAAGAGACTTAAGGCTAAAGGTTGATATTGGCAAAATTTTGTCTTTGTGTGAGAATGATTCCAGTTATGCACCATTGTTTCCAATATGCTGTAACTGTTAATATTACAGTAAACTCTGGCAGCATTTAAAACTATGTTTGTTTCCTATACTATTCAGTAAAATGACTGCTAAACTATTTATTTTGCAGAACATCCCATTATCTACCCTTCTAAGGAGCACTCAATTCTGTCATTACAATATTGATGCAAAGAAAAGGCATGTAAGAGATGCTGTCTGCAGTGAAAAACACCTGTTTCTGCCTTCCTCATACAAGTAGGTTGCTCACTATTTATCATTACCCTTTATTTATATTCATTTTAAATGGTGACGTATCACATTCTGCCCTGACTTTGTCCCCAAATGTGCATTTTGTTCTCAAGAAGGCAGGAGGCATGGCAAGACCCCTCAAAGGTACTTAGACTCAACTAAAGCACTGAATTTTTCTTTGTTTGCTAGAAATCGCTATGGTGTGATGACGGAGATCAACCAGACACTGAAGCTTGAAGATACCCCAAGAATCAGTAACAAAAATTTTGATGGAGGTATAGCTGCAATTCTCAATAATACAAATACAGGGCCAAAATATAAATACAGGTTAAATACAAGGACAATTTTTTTTTTTTAAAAACAGTGAATTAATTACAGATGCCATTGAGGGAACCAAAACAATTCATAATTTTTAATGAAATTTGATCAATTTAGTCATGAAAAAGGTTAGGGTATAAAATAGGAAAACCTGAAAAGTTTAAAAACACTTTTAAATAGTTTTAAATAGTCTTTGTCTTTTTATTTTCATTTTGAAATTATTCTTTATAATTAAAAATTTATAATTTGCTTGGAAATTAATTTTAATCTTATTGGAAATTATTTTAGTGAACACTTTTTAGCTAACCATAATTTCTTATGCAACTTTTAGCTTCAGCTGTCAAATGTAAACAGTCCATGATTACTATATATTTGGTTCTGAAACACACTTTTTTGACATGCGGTTGTTATTCCTAGTCATAACATATTTGTCCTAAGATATATTTATTAAAAGTTGAAAAAGCAAACTATGCTAATATGAAAGGTGTTAAGGAATCATCTTCATGAAAATTTAAAAGAATTTATGTAAATAGGTATTATTCAACTTTTGGGAGAATTACATTTAAATTCTACTCCATTATTTTTAGAAACTGTTCAGCCGTTAAACTTCAACAGTTAATCAGATAAAATAATCTACAGAGTTTGTATTTATACTGAATGTATGACAGAAGATAAAAATGAACATAGCTCCTTGATAAAGTCATAAAGAATGCAATTTTTTTAATTGCTAGGTGAACTGGAAGAGAAGGGACTTGCACTGGAAAGTACTGATGCCAAATTTCCCAGGCAGGGGGATGCTGTTCTGAAAATCCTTCAGGAACTGCAGAAACTTACAGCCTCCCAGCAGAACCAGCAGAGAGCAAGACTCTTTTACAAATTTGTTTCTGGACTTAGAAGTTTACATAACACCACTCTCGGCTTTCTTGTACCAAAGATGATGGAAACTTCAAGGTATGTTACAACAGTTCATTGTGCATGTCAATGCCATAGCAAATCCATTCTAAAGTTGATGACTTGCTGCAAGTGGTTTTAAATTACATGTTAATTAGATGTAGAGTGTCGTTCAGAAAGGTAAGTATCATCAGAATTATCTAGAGAGAGAGATAAGGAAGTGAGAGTAAAACCTGTGTATTTCACATTTTTCCATCAGAAATGCTCAGTTGTTAATTGGAACTTGAACATTAAATGTATGAGAAGAGTATAAGATTTCAAATAGATCTGAAAGTTCTAGCCTTCTATGAAGAACTAATATTGTTTTGATCATTCCCCCATCAAATCTTCCAAACTTATTGGAGAAGCCGAACTATAAATTAGAGCATAACACAGCCCAGTACAGGGTTTTTCTCCCCACCACCATCCCAAGTGTGTATGCCAGATGCAATCCTGTGGATATATTGTTATAGCCAAATATCTTTCATGCAGTTTTGCTCAAGGACAATGACTGTAATTCCAAACTCCCAAGTCTGACTTATAGCAAAGAACACAGTTTTGAAAGTGAGATTTTGGAGACATGGAAGGGCACAATTCTTTGGTCTGACCCTGCCCTCCACTCCCCACCCTTACTCTTCTGTCCTAGCTGGAGTTGAGTCAATTTACACATACTTTATGTCCTCAGTCTGTAGAGGGACTAGAGCCTCAGTCTGGTTCAATATATTATATTATAATACTTAAAGTTGTGGGGAGGTGTGTTGTGTAAAAAAAAAAGATATGTCTGTGTAATGATAGTATTGTTAATACTTTCTTGTTCATAGCTAATCATGTTATTAGTATAACTTGTAAAACTAAGAAGCTTCTTTTTGATAAGCAGTTGTGTGATTTGCTTCCAGTCATGCATAAGCATACATCATTTACATTAAAACACCTTAATAAACCTGTCAAATATTTATTTCAAACATGCAACATGCAGCAATAACTGCAAACAAGAAATTAATTAATCAAAGTCGTCTCTTTTCCTTTCAGTTCCATCACAGTTCAGGCCCTGACTCAGTGCGGAACTCCAGAGTGCTATGGTGCAGTCCTTCAAATACTGAGAACTGGAAACGTGAATCCGCTTGTGGTAGACCTGGTCACATATACCCTGGGACTATTGCCTTCTCCAACTCCAAAAAGAATACGGGAAATTCTTAACATGGCCCAGTATCAGCCAAGTAGAGGTTCTTTTTACGGCTTGAGTCATTCTGTTACTAAGTAAGTAATGATAGCATGTAATCGTACAAAATAACCTCAAGAAAACATTACAATGCTTAGAGTAAACCCTAAGAGTAGTCACTTTTTGAGGATTTTTTGTTATTCTCATGAATTTGCTCTTTGGGAATAAAAAATAAATAGACATTTCCTGTTTTCTCCTTTTGTTTCTGATGTGTTTCTCTATTTCTTTAGGTTCTACAATGAGAAGATGATTGTGACAGAGGAAATAACAGATGTTGCAGACTTCATGGTATCACTGCTTGGCACTGATTGTTCTGGGGAAGATGAACTCACATACCTCACACTTCGGGTATTTTTACTTCCTTCTTTCCTTATGCAGGCTATTATTTTAAATAGTAGCGCATATATTACTCTACTTCTCTTGGTGGAGAAAAAATGTTTATCATCTTTCTGTTTTCATCACTGACAGGCTATTGGAAACATGGGTGCAGTAATGGAGGAAGCTAAACCCAACCTGAAATCTTATCTTAAGACATGTATCAGAAATGAAGCTGCATCACTTTCAGTTCAGAAAGCAGCTATCCAGGCATTCAGGAAAATGACTGTTACTGAAGAGGTAAATTGGGTCACAAGAATCAGCATAAACTGTCTTCAGTTCGTCTTGACTGTTAACAGAAGTTATTGAAAGTGCAAAAACATTCTCATTATTTCATAGTTTTGCTATGTCCCTTTTAGCTGTCTCCAGCTTTTTTAGAACTCCTTTAGTTAGCTAAATTTCCATACACATATCTGAGAAGTTCTGCAGACTTCTGACTTAGTGAGTGTTACTCCTTTGAAATGCAGTTGCTTTGTATAGATAGTCTCAGTTTAAATGGGAAGTTTGGATCTGTTCCTATTAGAGTATCCTAAATGGACTTCTACTTATTTAAAGGTGGTTTTAGCTAACGAATTAGTCCAGATTTAAATGGATTTAACTCAGAAAAAATCATATACTGGCATTTTATTGTCATTGTTATTAATAGTGCTGGTTAGATTTATGTTTGCATTACAGTGTCATTAAAGTGAATGAGTGTCATTATACAGAGCACTTCAGCTTAGTATAGTGAAATAGTTTCGGTATCAACAAGTTTCTACTCTAAGAGACATGCTCTTGTTTCCAGACAAGGCTTAACAAGTCTGGGAGCATGGAAACACCCGAAGCTCATGTCCTCAGATTCAGTTTAATTTAAAGCATTTAATTTTTTTTATTATTATTTATTTTCAAACTATGTTTTTAATTTTCCTGCAGCAGAAGATTTTGATCACCTTCTTTTGCTAAATTGAATGATTTTTTTTCCAAAATTTGAGAATTTGTCTGCAGACCAGAACACTTCTGATTTCCAACAATCAAAACTCAGTATTCTAGACAAAAAAGTAACCTGCCAGGTATAGGATAAGAAAATCAATTTTAATAAAACCATAATTTCTACGGCTTTTTCTGTCAAAAGAAACTTCATCAAAATACCTTCAATGAAACATTTTTTGTCAGTTATAGAAATAAGATATAGAAACAGTTATGCAGTCCTGACAAAATTACATCCTGGAAATTATTTCACCCTATATATTCCCAAAAGAGTTTAGCGATATCGTCTACTAGCCAGCTTATCAGTGCAAACCTTTCTCTATTTATATAGGACCGTTCAGCACTTCTGAAAGCGTTCCAAGAAGGGGATTCACCTACAGACAAACGTCTAGCAGCCTATCTCATACTGATGAAAAATCCTTCCCCAAGTGATCTCGCAAAGATTTTGAGAGTTCTCACAAAGGAGAAGAACGAGCAAGTGAAAAGCTTTATTGCCTCACACATTGCCAACATCCTAGACTCTGAAGAAGTAGGCATTGAAGAGTAAGTAAAATTTAGTTATATACTAGTCGTCTAGGAAGAACAAAGTTCTGACCATAATTGCGGTGGTAGTTATTCAGCAGTGCATTTGTGCTTGGTTTTTTGGTTGCTCGTTTGTTTTCTTTGTTTGAACAGGCACATCAGCTGAGTAAATCTATGCCTTTGTCAGAGCAGTGCCAGCTTACAGTCTTTCCCTTAAGTCTTATTTTTACTGTTAATATGTGCAGAGAGCTAGCCATTTACAATCACCTCAGTTGTATGAATGTCTGCAAATGACACAAGAAATCGCTCAACTAAGACTGAGTTTTTGATTTTATACTAATCATATTTGCATTGCTATCCTCTTTCCTAGTCTAAAAAGCCGAGTTGAAGAATCTCTGAAAGGAAACCAGGTTCCAACAGCCAAAGATTTCAGAAAATTCTCACAAAATTATCAGATTTCCAAAAGAGTTTCTGTACCTGGAGTTGATCCTGTCTCTGCCAAAGTAGAGGGAAATGTGGTATTTGATCCAAACAGCTATGTTCCTAAAGACACGATGCTAAAAACCACCTTGAATGTATATGGATTTGGCCCAAACGATATCTTTGAGGTACAACAATTATCAAAAACTTTTGCTAGTATCGAGCTGTTTTCTTTTTCATTTCTGTTTTCTTATAACAACTTTCTCTGAATAATGTATTGTTTTTACAAGCTTTGGGAGAAATCTAAAGATCGCTATGCTTACAAGGGAACTTTCACTTGATCTCAATGGGCTTTAAGAGCAAGCCATCCATTATGTGATGTCACTTGCCACTGACTGGATGGACGACCCTGTTGGAGCTATTAAAGGCCTCAGCTAGGGTAAAATGAACCCATCTGTAACAAATTGACTTCATGCTAATGAATCATTACTGGCACACTGAAGTACTCATAGTAGGTTTTAAGTGAGATACAGCCTATGCGTAGGTTTTTTGTTGGACCTCACCACAGAGATAAAATTAATTGTAAGACCTAGTATTCTGTATCTTCCCTTAACAATCATAGACTTGTAGAATACACTTTAAATGCATTGTTTGTTTCCTGGAAAGACTGTTTGTTGTAGAGCTCCAAAGAAGTGGAGAAACTGTCTCAGTTATTGCATTGTCCTGTTCATTTCAGCTTGGCTTGGATGGAAAGGGGTTTGAACCAACACTGGAAGCTTTGTTTGGAGAGCAGGGATTTTTCCCAGACACTGCAAGCAAGGCCTTGTACTGGGTTGACGGCAGAGTGCCAGAGCAGGTTTCCAAGGCGCTTTTTGACTATTTTGGTTACTCCCAGGATGGCAAGCAGGATCAGGTACAGCTTGAAAACATTCTCTGCGTGGCACGGCATTCCCATCTTTACACAATAATTACAGCACTTCCCTCTTTATTGTATATAAGCCTTCTCCTCTCTGGTAAGCTAAAATAGAAATCCTTAATGCTATTTGACAATGTTTTTTTCTTAATTGTATGTGGGAGGGGCCTTTGTCTGGAGACAAATCTGTAAGAAGTGCATGTGCAGATTAGCTGACATTCACTAACTGTTCTAGATATATGATCTTACAGATTTCTCATAAATCTGTTTTACTACTTTCTGACTGAATTTTCAGGATATCATGAAAGGAATAATGCTTAACCTTGAAAAATTGATAAAAGAATTGGGCAACAAGGAAGCTCCTGAAGGAAGAGCATATCTGAGAATCCTGGGAGAAGAACTTGGGTACATGAAACTCGATGATTTCAAATTGCTGGGAAGCATGATTTTAAAGAGTGTTAAAACTCTTCAGACTATTCCCGAAATGGTATGTTTCTGGTGCACCAATGTGTGTTATTAATTTGGGTTTTTTCTACAAGATTTTTTTAAGATTTAGGTTGTGTTTATCTCTTATGTAAAGAATGGATATTTGATACCAGCATGAAAATAAAATTATTTAAAATAAAATATCCAGGTTTAGTCTGAAGGACTCTGGAAACCCATGAAGACTCCTTAATAACCAAGTGGAGTCCTCCTGGAAGATGGGTGAGAGGAAGGAAAAAGGGAAGGTTCAGATCTTATTATATGATTGAGATATCTGCTGGAACAATGTCCAAAACCTTAGTGTTGGCCATTATGTTATACTACTACATTTCTAATTATGAAAATGTATATTAATATTAAGCAATAATTCATCATGTTAAAAAGAAAAGAAGATGTCGTACAGTTTAGGAATATTTGGTAAAACCCTTCTTTCGTTGAAGTAAAAAAATGCTTTGCCATTGACTTTGGGGAAGCCAGAATGTTACACATTATCTAAACCAATTCACCTTTGTATGTGTATGTCAAGATAGATGATCTGTGTGTATCAAGGCAGGTGATAAAATCTAGTATTCATTTAAAGCTGACATTTTGATAAACAGTCCTTACTACATTTTTTGAAGCAAGGAAACTGTAGAAATTAGATTCTGTACTCTGTATGAAATTAATTTTTATACATGTACAGTCATTCCATGATCAATTTTTAAAGTACAAAATATAAGTATTTCAAAGTGTAGATTTGTCAGTGTTCATTTCCTTGTTTGATTCACAGATTGCACAAGCCATCTCAAAAGGTATTGACAGGGATTTATTTGTCCACTACATGTTCATGGACAATGAATTTGAGCTCCCAACTGGAGCAGGTTTGCAACTGAAGTTTGCCTTGTCTGGAATAGCAACACCTGGGGCCAAAGTAGCTATGAAGCTTCATCAAAAAAGCGTAAGTCTCAACAACTGTCTATATTTTGTCTCCTCCTAACAATCTACAATCTCATTTAGGGATAAAACAGTAACACCAGAAGAATTTTAAGGACTACAAAATACTCTTGAAATAAAAAAAAAAAAACTTACTTATTAGAGGTCTCCAGTTAATTTGTGGGTGGCATTTACATTAAAGTAAGAAGTAATACATATAACAAATTAAGTATGAGACATAATAAAATTTATGAATTAAAAGTATTTTAATGACCCTTTCAAAAATAATGCTTTTAATCTCTGTTTATTTCTCTCTCCTTGTTATCAAATGAGAACAGTACAAAAGCTACAGCATGTGAATCTGCTGTTCAAACCAAACAGTTAATAAAAAATTTTGATGTGGCCAATTCAAAGTGAAAATTTTGATTTTCAGTTAAAAGAAATATTGAAAATTGAGTTAAATGAAACATTTTTTGATCTGAAAGGAAACATTTTAAAATTGTAACAATTAAAGAGCATGTGACATAAAATAAATTATCTGGTTAAAATAAAAAAAAGTAAATTAAATATTTCCATTCTTTTTTACAGTTTTAATAACTGTTTTGCTCTAATTTAGTCAATATTTTATATAAATTTCTCAATAGTTTCAGTTCACCTTAACTTTTAGTTTTCCACCGTATGCATGATTTAAGTAAAAATAAAAAAATAACTCCTCAAATTTAGTACTGGTTGCCTTTTAGTTACCTTTGGAATCTTTTCCAGAATTTTGCATTCTGTCCCTTCTTTCTGTAATGGCCAAACCAAAAGCTTGAAAACAAGCTGTTTTCTATTTAGAGAAATTCAAATCTTGGATCCATTTCTTTTTTTGTCAAATAGTTTACTCATTTTTTTTGAAAATTGCTATTTGTTTTTACAATGGAAAACTGGCTCGTCTTCAGATTTAAAAATACAAGTACATGCAAGTAGTTCCATGTACAAAATCTTTCTGAAGCATGAGTATTTTTTCATTAAAGTAGGTAAGGTTCCTTGGTGTTATCATCTTGCTGTATTTGTTACATTACAGTTACCACTATGTGGTCTTTCTGCTTATGTGACTGGGAAATCAAATTCTTTTAATAGCAAAATCAATTATATAAAACCTACCTGTAGATTATCAAGAACATTACATTTGTTTTATAAAACCAGTAAGAAGTGTATTGGGCAAATAAATACACCATTTTGTTTTTATTAAATAGATGCATGCAGAACTCATTGCTAAACCTTCAGTAGCAATTGAGTTTGTAACACACCTGGGAATAAACATGCCTGAATTCGCTAGAAGTGGCGTGGAGATGAATTCTAATATTTTCCATGAGTCTGGAATTGAAGCACATGTTAGTATGAAAGCTGGACAGCTGAAATTCAGCATTAAAAAACTCCAACAAAGCTCCTCAGTATCAGGTAATGAGAACAGAATGAGAACTTTCAAGGCTATGTTCTTCCCTTCTCTTCTTGGTTTTTATTGTGATGGAATTGAGAGGCTAGGGCAGGCATGGAGAAATTTTCAGTTCAGAAAATTCCCAGACATTGTAAAACTGGGATAACTTCTTTTGTAAGATAAGCAAATAGCCCAGATAAGTGGTGACTGGGAATCATGGCTTACAGATTCTTTAATTTGTCACTATTTTCTGAAATTTTCAACAAGATTCTTACCATTTCTGTTATTTTGTTTTCTTTCACATAAAATTATTATAATAGCAATGCCTATTTTTAGATTGAATTTAAATGAACTACTTACATTAATTATAGAGAGGGTAAATGGCTCGATACACAGAATTATAATTATCAGTAATAATACTTATAATAATAAACCGCTTAACCGTTTAACCACCAAATGTTATTTCATTAAGCCATTACCTTAATAAGTGATTTTTATTCAGAAAATAAGTTTGTTAATAGGACAATGTCTGAACACTTGTCCTGGGAATAAATGACTCACTTTTCTGTTCCAGCAATACACTACATTTGGTATCTCCATCCAAAACTGAAGAGATTCCACCTCTGATTGAGAACCGAGAAACCTGGACTTCTTGCAAGCCTTTCATTGCTGGTCTAAATTTCTGCACCAAATTATTGTACTCTAATGCCAGTGCCACAGAGGCAGCTCCATATTATCCCTTGACTGGAGAATCCAGGTAAGTCATATTAGCTTTAACTGTATTTATTTTGTGTTCACTAAACTTCCGTCTTAGGGCTTAGTATCTACAGTACCCTCTCACATAAAGCTTACCTTTAAAAATCTTTAAAAACAGACTAACAGGAGCAGCACAGAAAGAGAGCTATTGAGAACGGTATGATTTCTTCTGTTTGTGGTCATGGACAAAATAGTTATTTACAACACATTTGTTTACTCCTTCTTTAGATTTGAAGTTGAAATAGTGTCCACAGGCGAAGTGAAGGAATACTCTGCAAGTGCAAACTATGACCTGCAGAGAGAGGGAAATAACCTGGTAGACACCTTAAAGTTTGCTCTCCAGGCAGAAGGTAAGAGTCTGAAAAAGCAGTATGGTTTAGCTCAGTTTTGAACTGTGTCATTTAATGGGAAAAAGATTTGTATGAATAAATCATAATAGAATTCTTTACAGTATAAAATAGAATAGCATTTTCACACCCAAACAGGCCAACACTTTAAGTCGCATTTCATTTCATGCATGCAACCCCAGTGCAAGATTTTCATGATCAGAGGCTGATTTTGTATACCAAAAATGCTTCCCCATGATTTAAATAGAAGTGTGATGTTGGTGAATGGAAGCAAGGAAGAGGAGAAGTTAATGGGTTCTATATAAGCAAGAGAAAAATACCATTTCTGATGAAATATGGAAGTAAAGCATACAATTGAGAAGAACTGCATAAACAGCAAATTTTTCAAAGGGAGAATCTGTGGGATGGCAAGTTTACGTAACAAAAGTAGTGACAGGATTAGTAGATCAGCCCATGGTGTGTTTAGAAGATGAGGAGAAACAAGATGACCCAGTTTCTGATTCAGACTCATCAAAGGTTGTGTTAGATCTTCAGGGTGATATAATTTCCAGTTGACCCTTTTTTATTCTCCTTTTAAGAAAAGTCAAAACAGATTCCATAGTTGTGAATAACCAAAGTACATTATATTTTCCAGGTGTAAAGCAGCATGAGGCCACACTGACCTTCAGGTACAACAGAGACAGAAAGATTTTGACCAGTGATGTCCACATTCCAGACATTGATGTTGACTTTGGTACAAACTTCAGAATTACTGATGAATCCCTTCCTGGGAAGAAAGCATATACCTTTGTCTTAGACTTTAACAACAAGAAGATTTCTGAAGTTACCCTTACTGGCCATATAAGGTAACTCAGAAAACCACTTAGACTTTTACAGATAACTTTGAATAAGATAGCTGAAGGTTTTATTGAAGGTAGAAAATTTTGGGAAATTTTATCCCATTTTGGAGAAATTGCATATATATAGAGACATATAAAGTTCTCATTCAAACCCTCTTTAAAAACCCTTGAAGTATTTTATTTGTAATCCATCATGTATACATCAGATAAATACATCTAATACACCAACTGATCTTTCCTACTGTATGTATATCTATAATTTATATTACAAGTTCCTTGAGCTAGTTCTTCCATGTTTGCACACACACGACTACAAGAATGACATTGTACTAGTGTTATTGCAGGTGTGATAATGCAAGGATATAAACAAGGCAAGGCTTGTTCAGAGAGGTATTATCTTTTACAGGATATGTTCGGCTCTAAAAAAAGTTATTACATCTCCCCATGAAGAAATCTAATGGCACTCAATAAGCAACAAAACCAAAAATGACTGAGAGCTTCCTGTAAAAATTCCCACGCTTCACGATGAGAATATTTCCGGGAACACCTACAGGGGAGCTAACAAAAATGTTCAGCCTGCCAGGGTTTCTAAAATTGTCTGCCTCACAAGCCCATAGTGAAATGAGCTGATCACATTCTTTAATAAACCTCAATCTTCCATGGAATTCTGTGATCTTGATGGTGCCCCGGGGAGTCTTTGTCTTTGCTGTTCATGCAGAATTGCCTCTGATATCAGTGGGAGCTTTGGACAGATGTCAGGGACCTCAATTCCCTTTCATTTGCACTAACATAATATTAGAAGTTTGCTCAAGTCAACAAAGTTACAGAGAGATAAAATAAATGTGAATAAAGGAAAATGAAGCCCAGTGGCATAATATATTTTGTCAAGTGTTTTGTTTCTATGTGATTCATGGCCACAGTCTTTATCCTTAGTAAAGAATGCAGCTTGAGTAAGGAGTTCAGAATTTGATTCAGGTACAACTTTACAAGACAGGTACATATTTCCATCCATTATGAAATTAATATGGAATTATTATTGTGTATATCTGCACAGTAGCATTATAATAATTTGCCATAGATTTCCCAAAGTAACTAGCTGAAGCTGAAAACATTTGTTGAATTGGAACAGAGTTTACAAATTTGATTCAATCTATTTTTTATGACACCTATTATGCCTTTTCTGTAGATGTAAATGCTGAAATTTCTCCTGAAACATCAGTGAAAAAGTAGAGTGAAATGTTTTATATTCACATTTACTTTTTGCTTTCACAGATATGCTGGAATGGAAGAGGCAATGTTACGAGGCACCATTTCTATTCCTCGCCTGCAAACCGAACTTAGAACTGAAGCATTGGTTAATTATTCACCAACCAAAGGATATCTTCAGATGAGCTCAGCTGCAACAACTCATGGAAACTCTATTTCAGAAACAGTTCTTCTCAGATATGGTAGGGGCAAAAACATGATTCATGTGTACAATCTATAAATTTAAACATCTTGTTACATTAGTTTATAGTATATCCCTAAATAGAATAAGAATATTACTAATTTTACCCTTTTCTTTTAAATTTATGATTTTCAGATTCTGAGAAAGTTGAGCTAGAGTGGAGTTCAGGTGCCAGTGCTGCTGTGAAAAAAATGTCTTCTGGCTTCCAGGTTGACTTTTCAGACTACCCAAAAACTTTAGAGAAGCATGCCAATGAACTGCTGGATCGGAAAGTGGCTCATACAGATATGACACTGCGACATATTGTGTCACAATTTATCGTGGTATGTTTCAACCTATAGTAGATATTACAGCTTGACCATATAGCCCTGGTGAATTCTTGCCTCCCCCACGGAAGTCAAAATGGGAACTACTTGTAAAAGCACTCATCAGATTAAATAAAATGTGTATTTCCAACTTTGGTCGAACTAGTCACTTTATCAGATGCCTCGGGCTCAGTATATGGATAGTTACACTGGCTTTCAGATAACTTACTGGGAACTTCTAAAACTTGTTATTTACTTTGAAAAACTTGTCTCCTCATTGCAGGCAACTAACACCTGGCTGCAAAAGGCATCGAAAGATGTCCCCTATGCCCAGACTCTGCAAGACAAACTAAGTAGACTGCAGGAACTGAACATTCAGAAAATTAACCTGCCTGTTATCACCATTCCTGAAGAACTTTTCCTGAAAAGGTAGGGAGAGAAATTAGGATAGTCACACAGAAAACTGAAAATAGATATTTGTTCATATTTTTGTGTTATTTTATTTTACTTTGTTTTATAAAACAGCATGGAATTGCTGTAAACATTAGCATAAAATTGGAATCATAACAAGGAATTTTAAGACCAGAGAGATGAAATTATATGGAGGAAATGATGCATGTCTTTAATACAGATTTGACTTTACAGCAGTCACTCCTGCAGTATATGAATAAATCCTGAAGTATTGTATTAAATAGTAATGAGAACGGAACGAAAATACAGCGTTCAACAATCTTTACTCTAAGCCACAGAATTAATGAAGCCAGGTTTCCCATAGATTGTGTCCTGCATCCCTACGGACCCTTTGTCTTTGGCCATAACCCTAATATCTCTACTTTTTCCTGTGCGGTCCTATTGGACAGTTCTTCCCATTCCCCTACACATACTGGTTGACCTCCACCAATATAGTACCCTGACCTCTTCCCATGTCTGACTCCATCTGTCACTCGCTCAGAGCCAACACATGCCATGGTTGTACACATATGGACTGGATGCTTGCACTAGTTTGTGCCCATGTCCTCCACTTAAGAGAGAGTTTCACAGAACTTGCATGAATGTAGTTACCCTTGAGGCTTTTATCCTTCTGTCAAATTTGATAGAAATCATCCAATATATTAAAAATTTCTGAAAAGTAAGATTTGACAAACAAAAGGAGAGACTGGATTTGCCAGGATTTACTCTCATTCCAGTTCCTAGCACATACTGTTCTTGCCATTTAGTGTTCGTATCACATTGCTGCTCTGCCTATGCATACAAATTAATGGAACAGTGTTGCTTGGTAGTACCTTCAGAATACACCCACAGCTACCACTGTGATAAATAGAAACATGTCTGTATAGTTTTACCATGAGGTAGGGAAATATCGATGGCTGAAATGACTGTAAAGGATAACAGAAGCTAGTGTAAGATTGGATTACAAAAACAGATGGGGAACAGTCTTGCATTTTATCTCTCTTAGCGCTGTTTTTCCATGTACTATCTTTCACTGTGGTAATATGAAACTGTATGTTAATGACACACATCTCTATTGCTTCCATTGTGTTCTTAAGCTAAGTATAAGCAAGGAAGAAACTGGTTTTTTTCTCCTATGTTCTTATCAGCAGTGCACATTATAATAATAATAATAATAGGAATTTCTACTGCTCTGTGATGTTGCTTTTGCTTTTTTAATCATTTGATATAAAGGAACAAATTTCAAAAATGTTTCCTTAATTTTCATCTTAGGATGTAGCTCTAAGTGTAAAAAAGAAGGTTTTGTAATATAAAAGACCAGTTAGGCAAACAAGAAAAGCATCTTTGCCAGCTTATTGTTCATGCACGAATTAAGGCTGAGTTTCCTCCTGTTTTGCCTTTTCGTAATAACACTTTTTCCCCACAAGCTTTTCAGCTGACAATCCTTTTTTTCCAGTCCTAGCTCCTGGTCAAATGGTTAGATTTTTATTTATTTTTATTCAGAATAAAATAAATGCTGAATATTTGGATGAAACTTTTGAAACGGTTATCATCAGAAAGATAAATTCTTTATAATTTAGGTTCTTACAACTTCTAATGCTAATAAGACTTTTCATGCATTTCTATAAGAATACATAACTTTTTTTAAGAAGAATATGATTGCCTTTTTCTGGTACTCAGCATGCCACATTGCATAAGTGCAGCAGTGTTTTTGGAGGATTTTTTTTTTCCTATATGTCAGCTATTTTCATTCAGATTCCTTCATTTTGAGAATCATTTTCATGCCAATACGTCTTTTCATTAATGTTCATAAAGCAGATTTGGATTCTCAGAGTAGAAAATCAAATGCAAGATTCATAACAGTTGTGTATGTAGCCCCTTGAATGACACTCTCCACTTGTGAGCTAAAGTTAGTTAAGCTCTGAACAAAGAATCAGGAACCTTTGAATTCTAATCCAAGGTCTTACAGAAAGAATGTGTTTCTGGACTACTTGACCTATGAGTCTCCCTGATTATGAAATAAGGGGAAAAAACACTGACAGAATTCGCCGATATCAACAGTGCTTTCAGTAAATTCTGATAGATGAGTGCTTTAAAAATGCTGATAATAATAGGTGATCATTACATTTCTTTCTAAACCTAAAGTTAGGACATTGATATAAGCATGTAAGTAAGCTCAGTATCATGTGAATACTAGGAATCATGGAAATTTCTGTATATGCTTCACAGATTTACAGTTTCTAATAGAGTCACTTTTATTTTCTAGTGAAGGCCGGATCAGATACAGCTTAAATAAAAACAGTTTTCTAATTAATATCCCGTTGCCATTTGGTGGAAGATCATCCCATGACATAAGGGTGCCACAGAGTGTTAAAACACCTCCTCTGGTAATGGAGTCAATGGGAATAAGTGTGCCGTCTCAGGAATACAGAATCCCAACATTTACTGTTCCAGAATCCTATCCTCTTCGTGTGCCTTTACTTGGCACTTTAGAGGTCTCTGCTAATGTCTACAGCAACTATTACAACTGGACAGCAGCGTACACTTTGGCTAATAGCACCACAGAGAAAGCATCCAGCATAAGAAGTACTTACACCACGAATGCTGATTCAGTTTTTGAGCTACTTTCCTACAGTGTGAAAGGTAAGAATGTGTGCTAATACTGCAATGTTGGCAAAACTATTTTAATGACTTTATTTTCCATGTATCAGGTACAGCACATTCATTTTCCTGTTGCTTATTTGAAGAAAGGTGTTGTATAATCTCAAATCACTTTCTCTTTGTTTTTAAAGATATTATGTGAGTCTGTTTATTCAGGCACTAAAGGTGAAGTCAATTTAATTCAATAAAGACTTTTAAGGTCCATATTTTCCTGGATATTCCCTACTGAAGAAAAAGTCCTTCAAAACTGAAGGCGTAGATTCTACAAACACTGGCGTATCTGGCAAGTCAAGTGTTTTCAAAATCAGGTGTGCAGGTGTATGTGTAGGTATGGCCACAGTTTATTTCTCGCTCTATTTTTATAGAGAGAGATATATATAATCTTTTTATTGTTTATATATGTCCATATACTGCCATAACTACATAGCAGTTATCCCGGACTCAGACTGGATATGTCTTAAGACTGGTATTTTTAAGTTAGGTCCTCTAAAATTGCAGTTTGCGTTCTCAGATTGCAAAAGGACAAGCTAACTTCAGTCTTTTCTAAACTCCCAACCATAAACGAAGCATGATAAAAAAACCATTAAAAAACAGGAATGTTAGATATGGGTTATTCTTGAGAGTCCATCTTCTTAATTTAAGTTTAAATAATGACATAACTTCATGTTGTTTCACATAATTATATTTAGTAGTGTAGAGATTTAATTTATTCATAGTTCAAAACTTTAGCCGCAAATATCAAAATAATAACAATTTTTATAGAAATATTCAGGATTTACCAAATCATTTTGGCCTTTAAAGCAAAATGGTATAGTAACAGTACTTGTAATTCAAGCAGTAACATAAAAGCTTAGTGGCATCAGACAAAGTCTTAAAGACAAAAAGGTATAAATTTTGTCTCTTTTTTCCTATTTCAGGTTCTGGAGAAGCATCATATAATAGAAATGGATTCACCTGTGCATACGAAAATCACCTGAAGCACAGACTCTTAACATCAGTTTTTAAGTTGTCCAGGACAAAGAGTTATGAACCTAGTCCAGTTGCAAACTACACCATATCACTTATGGCATCCAGTACTCTGGGTCCTCAGCTTTCATTTTCCGGTGATATTGTTTCTGAAAAGACAAATAACGTGAATATCAATAATGTCAAGGTGGAAGGGCAGCTGGAAGCGGCTTCTGTCTTCGCAAGAAGCATTTACACTCTGTCAAGCTCATACAATGAAAAGAGACGGGTTGTAGAAGGAAAATCAAATCTCAAGTTGGATTCTTCTTACCTTCAGGCTACCAATCAGATATCTGGCAGATACAGTGATGATTTATTTTCCATTACTTCAGTTTCTGATGTACAAAGCGGACTATTAAAGAACACAGCTTCACTGAAGTATGAAAACAGCCAGCTGAAAATGACATCTGAAACAAATGGGAGGTATCGACATATTGCAGGTGTCAATAAGCTTGAATTAATTTTGTCAAAGAAGATGGCAGCACTTCGATCTGAGTACCAAGCCACTTACAAGCAGACCCAGTATTATGCCTTGTTTGCAGGTTCTCTCAATTCCCAGGATCTTGTTTTCAACACTGATATCTCTATGACTGATCAAAGGAATCGAGCTGCGCATAAGTCATCACTCAATGTAAATCAGTATGGTCTAGCCAGCAGCGCAACCACAAATGTGCAGTTTAGTCCGTTGACAATGCAGAGTGAAATGAATGCCAAACTTGATACTGCTGGAGGCTCCATGTCACTGTCCTCTTCTGGGCGCTATGGTAAAAACAATGCAAAATTCAATCTAGGTGGAAGAGTGAGCCTAACAGAAATAACGCTGGGAAGTGAATATCAGAGTACAGTTCTGGGTATGGACAACAAACATGTTTTAAACTTCAGAGTTAATAGAGAAGGACTCAAGTTTTCCAATAATTTGCAAGGATCGTTCAAAGAGATTAAGTTGGAGTACACAAATGACTTGAATATTCCTGGCTTATCCTTAACATTTGCTTCGAAATTAGACAACAGCTTCAGCTTTGACAAGTTCCACAAGCATGTTTTTGACCTACAACTGCAGCCTAGCTCACTTACAGCTAAACTGAGCAATAATATTAAATACACTAAAACAGAAGTTTCCAACAAAGCAGAACTCCTTCTCGAGCCTCTGAAGCTGAACTTGGGTGGCAATGTCAGAGGAGCCTATGGAGCAGATGAAATAAGGCATACCTACACCATTACATATGCTGATCTAGCTGCAAACTTTAAAACAGATACAGTCGCAAATGTTCAAGGCGCAGCAGTGAGTCACAGAGTTAATCTGAATGTGGCAGGACTTGCTTCCTCAGTTACTATGAACACAAACTGTGACTCCAAATCTCTCCGTTTCAGCAATGCTGTGCGTTCCACTATGGCCCCATTTGCTATCACTGCTGACATACATACCAATGGTAACGGAAAGCTGATTGCTATGGGTGAACACTCAGGAGACCTTTACAGCAAATTCTTGTTTAAAGCAGAGCCTCTTGCTTTCACTTTCTCCCATGATTACAGAGGATCTACCAGTCATAGCTTGAAGTCTAAAGGAAGATACACTACCCTGCTTGATAACAAAGTTCATATGCTTTTTACACCATCAGAGCAGTCAAGTGCTTGGAAGTTGAAAAGTCAGCTAAACAATAATATATATTCACAAGATCTCAGTGCTTACAATGATGCAGAAAAGACTGGTGTGGAACTTAGTGGAAGAGCTTTAGCAGATCTCTCTGTAATGGATACATCAATCATACTACCATTCACATCTGAAGAAGTTAATTTAATTGATGTATTGGGCCTCAGGGGCACTGTGTCAGAGCCTCAAGAATTCAGCATCTCTGGCTCTGTGAAGTATGACAAAAATAAAGATATGCATGTTATTAACTTACCATTCTTGGAACATTTGCCAGTTTACTTTGAACAAATCAGAGGCACCATTCTATCCACACTACAGGCCATACAAAGTTACCTGAAGAACATTAACATAGAACAACATATGAGAAAATACAAGGCAACCTTGGATAAACTCCCACAGCACATTAATGATTACATGGACAAATTAGATATGAAAGGCAGAGTTAGCAGCATGAAAAATAATTTGGTTGCTTTCACAAAGGACTACAGAATAACATCTGATGATCTGCAAATTATGCTGGAAAAAGCCATGGACAATCTTCAAGAAATACTGTCTCAGCTGCAGGTGTATCTGATACAAATTGAGCAATACATCAAAGATCATTATGAGCAGTATGACATTAAAGCACTTATTGCACAGCTTCTTGACCAAATAGTTGAAACAATGACAGCTCTAGATAACAAATACGAGATAAGAATGACTGTAGTTGACACTATTCAAAAATTGCAATTTTTTTTTCACCAGTATTATCCTAGCAAAATTGGAAGCAGCACTTTGGCTTGGATTAAAAATGTAGATGATCAGTACAGGATTACAGCTAGGATACAGGAAAACCTAGAACAACTCAAGATTCACATTCAGAATATTGATGTCAGACGCATTGCAGAAAATTTGAAACAGCAAATTAAAATGTTTGATGCTAAAGAAGTTTTAGAAAAATTGAAGCATTCATTACCAATTGAAAAAATTAATGAAGTTCTTGAACAAATCAAAGACTTTATTCTAAATTGGATGGAGGAGTATGAAGTGTCTGAGAAGATTAGTGCTTTCCGAGGTCATATAAACAAACTGATTGTAAAATATGAAATTGATAAGCAGGTGTATTTTTTAATGGACAGAATGATAGAACTGCTTAACCAGTACAGAATAAAAGAAACTGTCCAGAAATTGATCATCTACCTGAAAAATATTGATGTGAAGTCATGCTTTGATAAAGTTGTTGCTTTTATTGATGATGCTGTCAAGAAAGTGCAAACCTTTGATTATGAAATGATGATAAAGGAAGTCAACAAGTTCCTTGACATCGTTATTAAAAAGCTCAAGTCTTTTGACTATAACCGGTTTGTTGATGACACAAATAACAAAATCCGAGAAGTAACACAGAAAATAAATGAGGAACTCAGAAATCTAGAACTTCCACAGAAAGCAGAAGCACTGAAACAGTATATGAGAGATTTTAGAGCTGTGATTTCAAAATACATGGAACAACTAAGGGACACCAAGCTTGCTGCAATAATTAACTGGTTCAAGGAGCTCATAAACTCAACAACATTTGCTAATCTGAAAGCCAAGGTAAATGAACAGCTGGAAGACCTGCGAGAGAGGATTTCTGAAATGGATATTTCCCAGGAATTCCAGTGGTATCTTCAGAAGATAAGCCAATTCTACAGTTCTGTTGTCATATACATTTCTGACCAGTGGAACATAGCTTTTAAGAAAATCGTTGCTTTGGCTGAAGAGTATGATCTAAAAAATTGGGCTGAAAATTTAAACCAGTTTGTTGAAACAGGATTTAAAGTCCCTGAAATCAGAACTGTTATAGTCACTATACCTGCCTTTGAGGTTAGTCTCCGAAGTCTTCGGGAAGCAACATTTCGAACACCAGACTTCATTGTTCCACTGACTGATCTGCATATCCCCTCCTATGAGATAAATATCAAGAGACTAAAGGACATGAAAATCCCAATGAAATTTACTACCCCAGAATTTATAGTTCTAAATACCTTTAAAGTTCCTTCCTATACAATTGACTTGAATGAGATTAAACTTCAGATTGTGAGAACAATAGACAAACTCATGTCTGGTGAATTTCAGTTGCCAGCAATTGATTTGTATATTAGAGATCTGAAGATGAGAGATATGCCTTTTTCCGACATTTCTTTCCCAGAAATACAAATGCCTCAGTTTCAAATACCAGAATTATTGGTTCCAAAGCTAAATCTAAATGAGCTCCAGATTTCTAACATGAAGATACCAGAGTTCCAGCTTCCACGTATCCCACATACTGTGACTGTCCCTACATTTGGCAAATTGTCTGGTGCTTTCAGAGTCACCTCTCCATTCTTTACACTGTCTACACAAGCTGAGGTTCATAATACTACAACATCTGCAAACAGTCCAGAATTTGTGACCTCCCTTTCAGCTCAAACAACGTCCAAATTAGACTTCCTAGTTTTTAGTGTTACTGCAGATTCACGTCTCTTGGCCCTTGAGATGAAGCAGCTGAACCTTAAAAATTCCATGAAGGTCAACCACAGGTTCCTTAAAGTTGATCACACCAATGAAGTGGTATTTTTAGGGACTTCAGTAGAAGGTGAAGCTGAAACAAGAGCAAACTTATATACAACAAAAAATTCAATAGAACTACAGAATAATTTAATGGTCAAGTTGCAAAGAAGAATTTGGATGCAGAGTGGAACGGCATATTCCCACAGACTGAATATTCCACAAGCTGATTTCTCCAGCCAGGCTGATCTGGTCAATAATATGACAACAGAGGTAGAAGCAGGACACATATCATTTACCTCCACTGGCAAAGGAAACTGGAAATGGGCTTCTCCTAATTTCTCCGATGAAGGCACTCATGATTCACATGCCACTTTCAGAGTTGAGGGCCCCATTATTACATTTTCTGCCAACAACAGAATAAATGATAAGTACCTGAAAGTCAACCAGGCTATGAGATATGAATGTGGTTTCCTAAATTACGCAACACTTCAGATTCAGTCTGAAATTGAGTCACAGCGTGTGGGACGTAGCGTTCTGAATGTAAAAGGCACAGGACAGCTTGGAGGAATGAAAGTAGAATTAACAGGCTCTCACAATGCTCGGCTCAATGGACGGATTACTGGAACTGTAAATAATGAGGTTTCCTTCTTGGTGCAGCCTTTTGAAATTCGTCTATTAACAAACAATGATGGAAATGTGAAAATCAGCTTCCCAATGAAACTGACTGGCAAAATTGACTTCCTGAATAACTATGGTTTTGCACTCAGTTCCTCTGAAAAAAAAAAGCTATTGGCAGGTTCAATCAGTACAGATATTCCCATAATATGTCTGCTGGCAACAATGATGACAGAATTGAAGCTCATGTCAAAATGAATGGAGATGCCAACCTGGACTTCCTAAATATTCCTCTAACCATTCCTCAGCTTCAGGTTCCCTACCCTGGAATCAAAACTCCTCAGCTAAAAGACTATTCACTGTGGGAACAGGTAGGCCTGAAGGATTTATTGAAGACAACGAGACAATCCTTTGATTTAAATTTGAATGCTCGGTATGAGAAGAACAAAGACATGCATGTAATCCCACTTCCTTTAGCAACAGTGCATGAAGCACTTAATAAATACATCATTTTCTTCAACAAGCATTTTGAGAGAGGAAGAAACACCGCTTTAGATGTTCTCACAAAGTCATATAATGAAGCCAAAACAAAATTTGACAAATACAAAATACAGACATCACTGAACAAACTACCACGGACCTTCAGGATTCCAGGATACACCATTCCAATTGTGAATATTGAGGTTTCTCCTTTTACTGCTGAGATGCCAGCCTTTGGTTACATGCTCCCAAAAGAAATAAGCACAACAGGATTCACAGTCCCATTTATTGGCTTTTCAGTACCATCTTACACACTAGTCTTGCCTTCTCTGGAGCTTCCAGTCCTTCATGTCCCACAGGATCTACGCACTCTAAAGCTTCCTAGATTCAGAATCAATAGCCCGTCAAACCATATCTTAATTCCTGCCATGGGAAACATTACTTATGACTTCTCATTTAAATCCAGTGTGATCACTTTAACTGCAAATGCTGGGCTGTTCAATCAGTCAGATATTGCTGGGCAACTCAGTGTCTCATCCTCTTCTGTCATTGATGCACTGCAATTTAAGCTGGATGGTTCAACAAGTTTGACAAGAAAAAGGGGGTTGAAGCTGGCCACAGCATTGTCCCTGAGTAATAACAAATTTCTAGGAGGAAATCATGACAGCACTATTAGTCTCACAAAGAGGAACATGGAAGCTTCAGTGGCAACAAATGCAGAAATCAACACACCAGTTTTAAAAATGAATTTTAGCCAAGAACTTTCTGGAAATACTAAAGCTAAGCCGACTCTTTCCTCAGGGCTAAAATTAATGTATGATTTTAATACTCCTAAATATGGCACCAGTGCTAAGGGAGGAATTGCTCACAAACTTGCTTTAGAGAGCCTTACATCTTATATATCAGTAGAAACTTTTACAAATGGGGATATTGATGGAGTATTTTACACTGGAACTGCATTTTCTGGAAGTCTAGACCATGAGGCAAACACCTATCTGAATGCTAATGGAGCTCGGTCATCTCTCAAGCTTGAGGCTCACTCCAAAGTAGATGGACTCTGGAACAGTGAAATGAAAGAAATACTTGCAGTTGAAGCATCTACCCGACGTGTTTATGCAGTCTGGGAGCACAATGGGAAGAATTATGCACGATATAGACCTCTTTTCACAACAACGGGGGCTCAGAGATGCAAAGCAACCTTAGAGCTGGCTCCTTGGGGTATATCAGCAGATCTTCAGATTCAAGCCACTCAGCCAAATTCCTTCCTGGACACAGCCTCAGTTAATCAAGTTGTTGTAATGAAAATCAGTACTGCAAACCAGAAAGTTGGCTGGAAGGGTGAAGGCCAAATTCAGTCATTATCTCTCAGTCATGATATGCAGTTATCAAATGAAAAATCAAAGGCAAAGTTTGATATTTCTGGATCTTTGGAAGGATACATGGACTTCCTCAAAAACATAAAGTGTCCCATTGCTGAGAAGAGCTTATGGGATATCTTGAAGTTGGACGTCACTACCAGTGCTGACAGAAAACAGTACTTAAATGGTTCAGCATCCCTCGTGTACACAAAGAGTGATGATGGTTACTTTTTCCCCATACCTGTGAATAAGCTGACCAATGGCTTCACTTTCAGTATTCCTGAGTTACACCTAAAGGCTCCAAGCCCTGTTCTCAGCACTCCAGAGTTCAGAGTTCCTTTCACCACTCTCCAGGTCCCAGCATACACCATTGACTTGCGCAACATAAAAATTCCACAGACACTAAAGACAATGCCATTTGATGTCAATTTACCCATACTGCCAAAACTAAGATTCCCCAAAGTGGATGTGGGAGCCAATTATATTACATTAGAAGAATATAAAATACCATATTTTGAGGTGACAATACCTGAATACCAAATAACTGTGTCCCAATTCACTCTTCCAAAGAGTATTTCTCTTGGCAGTTTCTATGTAGATCTGGATGAAGTAGCTAATAAGATTGCAGATCTTGATCTGCCTACAATTACAATTCCTGAACAGCAAATTGAGATCCCCCCTCTCAAAATATCCTTGCCTGCTGGAATTTACATCCCATCATTTGGTGCCTTGACTGGATCTTTCAAAGTTGCTTCCCCTTTGTACAATGTCACCTGGAGAACAGCCTTAACAAACAAAAAGGACTCTTTCGAACAATCCATTGACTCTACCTGCAGCTCAACGTTGCAGTTCCTAGAATATGACTTGAATGGTAAGACATTAAAATTCCATATGCCACAATTTCGGGGGAAATAGAATCATAGAATCATAGAATCATAGAATCATTAAGGTTGGAAAAGACCTCTAAGATCATCAAGTCCAACCGTTAACCCAACACCACCATGCCCATTAAACCATGTCCCTAAGCGTCTCATCTACACATCTTTTAAATACCTCCAGGGATGGTGACTCCACCACTTCCCTGGGCAGCCTGTTCCAAGGCCTGACTACTCTTTCAGTGAAGAAGTTTTTCCGAATGTCCAGTCTAAACCTCCCCTGGGGCAACTTGAGGCCATTTCCTCTCGTCCTATCGCTTGTTACTTGGGAGAAGAGACCAACCCCCACCTCGCTACAACCTCCTTTCAGGTAGTTGTAGAGCGCGATGAGGTCTCCCCTCAGCCTCCTCTTCTCCAGGCTAAAGAGCCCCAGTTCCCTCAGCCACTCCTCATAAGGCTTGTTCTCTAGACCCTTCACCAGCTTCGTTGCCCTTCTCTGGACACGCTCCAGCACCTCAGTGTCCTTCTTGTAGTGAGGGGCCCAAAACTGAACACAGGATTCGAGGTGCGGCCTCACCAGGGCCGAGTACAGAGGCACGATCACCTCCCCACTCCTGCTGGCCACACTGTATACTGGGGTTTTTTCAGTTTTTTTTTCCTAGGGCTTTGCATGTGAAGGTGTTGCTGTCTATTTAACATTGACATTAGATTATACTTCTTTTATTATCAGCAGCATTTTTTCGTAAATTATTATCAGAGTCTCAGTCAGTCACCCTGAAGGCTAATGACTAGATACATGTATAACTAATGGCATATTGTGAAAAAAATGGAAAAGATCTCTTTTCTGTGTAGCAGTTTCTTACTTTAAATTGCGAACAACATAACATTCCCCCATTACTTACGATAATACATGTAAAGGAGAGAAGGCAGGCTGACTTTTTATCTGATTCAGTTCAGATAAAGAAATACCTATCTTTTTCCTTAGGAACTAAGCATGTTTGATTTCAAAAAGTATTTCAACTCAAAAAACTCTGGAGTCCCATAGAGCGTTGAGTTCTAGACTTTATAATAATACTAAAAATGTACATCAGAATGAAATTCTAAACTCTCAAGAAATTAGAATCCCCATTTATGATCTGCATGAATGCGAAATGTTATATCCATGCTGTTCTAAATATAGAGAAAAATTGAATTTTAAAATACTCCAGTTGAACAAATATTTTCGTATCTTTCTATTTGGGGCATTATGGAATTCTGTTTCTTGATGCATGATTTTACATACTACTGAAACACCCCACAACTGGCCATCTAACATACAACTGGATATTTTGTGTTGCTTGTTGGTAAGTTCTGGAAATACACACATTTGAAATCTTTTTCACAGTTGTTTCAAACTATAAATATGAAGAAGGGATGTTTGTTATGAAGACAACAGGCAGCTTTTCACATCGTGACATGAGTGCAAACTACAAGGAAGATCTTACTGTTTCAGGAATTAGGTAAAGATTTGCTCTAATAATGTAATTTATAATAGACAAAATTGCCACTGCTGTATTGTTGCTTTGATCTCTAATGCCCCGGAATGCTTTGCTGTAATTAATAAGAACCTATGTAACTACCCTGTCATTATCAGCTGTGCCTTTTTCCCCTCTCGAGATAGCTGGAAAGCTGTTCCTTCTCAGCATTTCTAGAATAGCCTTTCTCAGCAGCCCCATTTCAGAAAACTGCTGAGATATAAACACAGTATTTTATAATCAGAACAGTTCTAGATCTGACCATCAACATAGGGTTGTGGGGTTTTTTTCCACTGGATCCCTCTGTCACCACAAGCCATTAAAGAGTAATTTTTATTCACAAGTACTGGCACTAAGGATTACAGAGTTGGCCTTCTAACTGCCTGTTTTGATCTGCAAGTGCTGTGTTGATATATTCAAGGGACAGAGTCTGTGAGGGCAAGTACAAATGGACATAAAAAATACTTGTGTTGGTGAAAAAAATTGCAGTCAGCTTGTAGAATTCTGTAGAAAGCTGACAGTGGTACAGCTGCAGGTTTTGTTTTGCTGCCCTAATTTAATGAAAATTCTCAACAGAGCTCAATATAGTTTTATCTAAAACAGGAAAATTGGAGTGATGTGAGGTTTTGAATGTGTTAGGCTAAATCCTAAGAAATGTGGATAGTAAAACCCTACATTTTGTTTTGATGACAAAGGCATTGTTTACATACAGATATATATATATAAAATAGGTGGTATTGTATTTAGACATACTGCATTGGGCTGGTGCTTTGTGCATTCCTTCATAGCTGTGTATTCACTGTTGTAGAGTCATGGACAACACTGCATCACTAGACATCATCAGCCCAACTTTTACAGACGTTCACGTGCGTTATCAAGAGACTGACAGGAGCTTATCCATCTCAGTATCTTCACCATCTGCTGGGACCTTGGGCTATGTCATTGAAATGGACGCTGACATTCTCATGGCGAAAGTTTACTACCGAACTCGGGTAAGCTTGATATGAGCAATAAAAAGCACACCTCTGGGTGTGGTCAGAGGAAAAGTTCCCATTTAAAGTTTGTGCGTGTTTATGTTAAGACATAAATTAACCACGCCTTGTCCAAAGAAAAAGTATGTTATCGGTAATTAAAGTTTTTGTTTCCTACACTGGCCTTTCCAATACTAAAAGTAGCACCTGTGTGATGAGGCTGTTTCCACACAGTTAATTTTGCCCTCTCCTATGATCAAGAAGACACACCCACTGAAAGTGAAGAAAGTACAAAGCCAGTTTTAGATCAGCCACCCATCAGGTTTAATGTATACCCATCAGGCTACAAAATATAATTGCTACAAAAGTGGCCATTATAGGAATCAGGCCACTGGAAGAGGTCAGACCATCTGTAGAGTGTCTTTTTTAATCCGTTAATATATCACAATATATTATGAGAATTAAAAATCTTACTAGATTTGCTAACAAAACATGCTATTGTTATTGGCATACTACAACAATTTCAAACTTAAAATCTTACCTTCCAAAATGATATACTAATTTAGGAATCACCAGCAACTCATAATTCACTATTTATTACTGAAAACTGGAAAATTTGTTTACGTAAATAGATTCTCATTCGAGGATCTTTAACTACTCTGGGTAACTCTCTTATTTCTCTCATTGATTTAAATGACTACAAAATGAAATCCTCTAATATTTTCATATGAAGAAAATGCTCTTTGAATTCACTTTAAATGATTTCAAGAATGAGTAGAAGGCTCATTTTGCAAAGTTATTCACACGCCTTATGAGACATGATAGGCATTTAATAGAAAGGAAGGAAAAATCTTATTTGCAGTCAAATTTTAAAAAAGACCAGACTAAGTTATGTTCTGGTCCTGCTGTTTGAAGAGGCACAAAGTAGCTTGATACAATATAATTTCTTCCAAAATAACCATTCAAGATGAGAGCAAACACACAGTAAACAAAAAATTGTAGTGTATTTGTCCTAATATATAATAAAATTAAAGATGCAAAATGAGACTGTTGAAATACACTCATAAATAATATCGGATTTGTTTTATATACAAGCTACCTTTTTCTTATCCTGTTCTATATTTTCAGTCTGCTCCTCAGAAGGACATTGACATATCAAAAAGTGAGATATCCTTCAAGAAACCTGACCTGATTCAAATGAAATTCAACTGGAAAGAAGATGCTGCCAAAGACTTGCTGTTGGGTCTGAAAGAAAAAGTACCTAAAATGACAAATGCAGTCTATAGGTATGTTAATCGGTATCATAAAGAGCATATGGGACTGGAAATTAGTACTGCCACCTTAAAGATGAAGAATATCATGCAGAATAATGCTGACAAAGCATACACATTTGCTGTAAAACAAATAGATCAAATAGATGCTCAGCTTCGCACAGCTGCCAATGAGGCCTCTGACAAATATCAGGAGATGAAGTTCAAAGCTAAACAGCTATATCAAAAAGCAGCAGATCAAGCTGAACAGTTTGACTATGGAAGAATAAAAGCAAAGCTTTTGGATGCTACAATTGACATAATAGAAGAGTATCACAGGAGAATAAAACACCTAATTGACTCAGCCATTGAATTCCTGAAGACAACAAAATTCCAGGTCCCTGGGCTGTCTGAGAAGTACACTGGTGAAGAAATGTACCTTATGACTACAGAGAAGGTAGCAAAAAATGCTGATTTATGCCTTTCAAAACTTCAGGAGTATTTTGATGCCTTGATTGCAGCTATCAATGAGCTGGAAGTCAGAGTTCCTGCTTCTGAAACAATTCTTAGAGGTCGTAATGTACTTGATCAAATTAAAGAAATGCTGAAAGATTTGCAGGAAAAAATCAGGCAGACATTTACTACTCTCCAGGAAGCTGACTTTGTAGGAAGGCTTAAGCAACTGAAACAAGTAGTGCAACAAGTTTTTCAGAAGGTAGAAGGAATGGTTAGAAACTTGCAATCCAAAAATTTTGGAGACATCAAAGTCCAAACGCAACAGCTGTACAAAGATGCAATGGCTTCAGACTATGCACAGAAACTGAGATCCTTGGCAGAAGATGTTAAAAAATACATTTCTCAGTTTAAAGATTTTAGCCAGAAGACATTCCAGGACCTTTCAGAAAAGCTGCACCAGCTGCTCCTCTATGTAAAGGCATTGCGGGAGGAATATTTTGATCCAACTACACTTGGATGGTCAGTGAAATACTATGAGGTGGAAGACAAGGTACTAGGATGGCTGAAGAATCTAATAGATACACTAGTGGATTGGCACAACAAGTATGTTGGAGATCTTGCTGACTCGGTTACACATCTGACAGACCAAGTAAGAGAATTGGTGGAAAACTACAGCCAGGAATATTATGACCTTATAGCTGATGTTGAAGGAAAAGCAAAACAGAAGGTCATGGAGCTCTCATCTGCTGCTCAGGAAAAAATCCGATATTGGTCTGCAGCTGCTAAGAGGAAAATCGATGAACATAACAAGCAAGTCAAAGAAAAACTCCAGGAGATCTATGGGCGGCTTAGTCATTCCCAAGAAAAGCTAATCAGTGAGGCCAAAAGGTTAATTGATCTAACTGTAGAAAATTACTCTGCATTACTGCAATATATCTCAGAGCTTCTTCGTTGGTTTGAGCAAATAACAGCTGAGAGCATAAAGCCATATATAGCTGTTCGTCAAGGAGAGCTTAGAATAGATGTGCCCAAGCCGTTTGACTGGCAGTCCATTTACCAAATGCCCCAAAAAAGCAGAGAGGCACTCAGAAAAAAAGTGGAACTAACACGCACACTGATTCAGCAAGGCGTTGAGCAAGGCTCCAGGAAATGGGAAGAAATGCAAAGATTCATTGATGAACAACTTGCCACTGAGCAACTGAGTCTTCAGCAGATTATGGAAAATATACAGCAGCGCATGAAGACCTGAATGGACATGCAGAAGAGGAGAAGTAATAAGTTTGTACCACAATGTATTTAAAAATAACAGCAATCAGCATACTGGAGCTTCAGGTAGATACTGTTTGAATCTGAATTTGTAAATGAAAACTGAATAATCTACACTAGGTTATTTTAATGAGCTTAATAAGCCAATAAATGAGTTCTTTATTACATTTTTGTGTCATTCATTACAGCTACTTTTACTTGGACCATAGGGCTTAATCCAACAATTGTCAAGGTCAATGGGAAGTCTTTGCTTTGATTTCACTGTATGTTGGATCAAGCCAATAATGTGCAATACATATTGTAAATAGTCACAAAAGCTACGGAAAACATAGAGTAACCAGGTTTTAAGATAAAGGTCACATTCATAAGCCAGTTGAAGAACGACTTGGAAACACATCTATTTCCCAGCATAGAAATACCTTCATTGATAAGCTTGGGAGAAAAAGAAGAGGAAAAGAGCATGTACAAAAATACGAAGAAAAAAATTAATGAATTCTCGAAAAAACATCAAAAAGCGAAAAAGAACATAGAAATATAAACATATATAGAAATCTGACTCCTGGAAAACTGCAGATAATAATACCAATGTTCTGTTAAGAAAAATAAATTTATGCATGTATCAGTTTTCAGAAAACTATGCCAAGAATTTTAGATGGGTTTTCTTTCTACTGGCTAATTTATGATTCAGAAATACAGGGTTTTCTTACCTGTTTCCCCATGGTATTTCTGGTTTCACATCAAATTGTCTAACTTCTATGTATCGCGAGTTTAGTTAACTGTCAAAGTTTCACTGACATCACTGTATATGATGGGAGTCAAAAAGTTTTCCCCTCAGTCTCCTAGGCTGAAGCCTAGACCTCATTTAAATGAATTCTCAATTTAAAGATGAATTTAAATAATGTTGAAGAATTCACTCACAAAATAGGACTACTTTTGAGTGGAAAAATGCGTGGACCTGTTATGGTTTATTTTCAGCTGTTGGAATACTATATAGATAGTCCTTGAGAAAGGCATGCTCGGGCTGAAATAATGTTACCTCTTTGCAAATAAACTCTTTAACAAACAACACGAGAAATGGTGTGTACATGTCTGTTTTGATACAATCAGTTCACTCTGTAATATGGTTGTTGCTTGTTCATTAATGGAAAAACAGAGAGTCTGGTTTTATCCCATGGTATGATTGGTTACATACATAAAGCAATGGAGAACCAGTTTACAAATATCTGAATAAGTTTTGTGGCAGCAGATACACATTTACAGCACAGAGCAGCACCACGCCAAGACGCTAGCTCAGGTCCTGGAAACGGGAGAGCCAAGTGCCCATGTGGAGTTTATGCAGCAAAAACGCTCCCACCTCCACAACTGGTCCACGCCGATCTAGCAAGGTCTCAGAGCAAGTTGGGCTATACGACTTTGATATCCCTATTGCCAGATAATAATATTACCCGAGTAGGTCTGCCAGTAATGATTTTTCTCAGATGAGCTACATTAACCCCGAAATCAGAATCTGAGAAGCATAGTAGTATACACACACCTATCTAGCTGTCAGCAGAGAGCAGGCATCTCTTAGAAAGTAAGGTAAATCCGTTTTCTCTTTAGAGCTTTCAGCCATCACAAATCATAGAATCATAGAATCATTAAGGTTGGAAAAGACCTCTAAGATCATCAAGTCCAACCGTCAAATGCAGCAACAGTTCTCAAAGATGTGGACTAGTCCCCTGTGAACGGTAAAATACGGAGTTTTCATTCTGAATAGAACTGATCTGCATATGTCACCCTGCCTGGGGGAACCAAAGGTATAAAAATCCCTGTTTACATGCCCTACTGAGTATCCCAGTAAATAAAGATGTTGGCTGCAGAGCCCTTTCACCTTCATTCACAAGGAAACCGAAGCCTATGGGTCATCTGATCTTTATTTGATGTCAGATTGCACAACTCTTTTCCCTGAATTTCACAAATGTTTAAGCACAACCAGATTTCTCAGACACTGTCTGATTCTTGCTTCCCTTCATCATGACAAATAGCCCCGTGAAACAAAGGACAATAGAAGAAATTATAAAAGTTATGGGAGAAGAGAGATTTAAAGTTTTGTTTTCTTTTGTTTCCCCCCTCATGGCTATTTATTTCTGTCCATCACCCATAGTTCTTGGGAGGGTTATAAATTCCAAAAAAGGATTTACTTATAAGGAATGGGTTAACTGAATAATAAATATGCCAAATAGCATAAATACTGGCTCTCTTTGGCAAGAGTGAAGCTTCCCAAGAGCGAACACAATAGTTTGCACACTAAACTGTGGTTAGAGGTTAGAGGAGATTTCCAAGTCTCATAGCAGCATTGCCGCCAATTGGATTAAAGCTCTCAATCCTGTAATCGATGTGACAGCCATCTTGCAGTCATCCCACAGTTGGTTTTGGGAGGGCCTGGAAGCAGAACGTTGCTCTCAAAAACGAGATCTTGCTGGAACTTAGCTGCTGTTAAATCCCCACAGCAGAGAGGTCATCTCAAGCACCCCTTTGAAACGCCGGCAATGTTTTGACACAGGAAGGGGTGTGTATGGCTGCGTGTGTGCGTAGGTGCGTCCCACAAGCATGTACAACCAGGTGTAACTTCAATTTCCACGGCTTTTCCTGTGGTATGTTTGCTGGTTTGTTTTTCTTTCAGGTTCAAGCAAATTTTAGCCTTATTTTCCAACCAATATGTTACGGAATTGTAGACAAAACCACAATTATTCCAATTATGCTGCAATTCACTCCACTTATGAAACGTTTGCAATATAATTGTTTGAAATATTACTAGTTCTATTTTGGCCTCTTTTTCAGTCTAGTTTATATATTAAGAAATATTATATTTCATTAAATTGAATTGTGTGGGAGATAACTGGGAATCAGCAACTATCTGGGGCTCAGTGACACTGTTTCTTTTTTTTTTTTTCCTATAGTCTTCATCGTCTGAATTCTCATAAATGCCAGAGGGGCTTTTCTTTATAATTTACAGCAAGTATCAGACATAGAGCAGAACTGGTTGTAAAAGTTTAATTAAGTGAAACATTTTAACAAGAAATTCAGAGAACAATATGCCCTGCTCTAACTAAGTGATTGTAGAAATAACATTGACAAGAAACGTGTGTGTTCCTAAATGAAAAACTTTTGCAGACGTAGGACAGCAAAAATGTTCCAGAATTTTAGATTATGCAACTAACTAGAGCTGATCTTTTATTAAGTGGTTTAAAAATACATCTATAATTTGCTGCGTATACAGAGATTCTACACACGCATGCACATGCACACACACACACACCGTACAGTGCATCATCCACCTCTGGCTCTAAATTATGCCATTGACACTTTTAGAGCAACTGTCATTATGGCCTACTGATACCTTACAAAGTTTATATTGAAACATTTAGTTGTTCAGTAAGTGACACCAAATTTTGTACTACTCTTCTGCTGGCAGATTTATTGCTCAGGTGGGAAACCAGAATTTATTAAAGGCCATACGGACATACAGGATTGCTTGTATTCCATTTCTACGCAGCCAAATCCTGGCCCAAATGAAATCGATGGCAAAATGTCTATTGGCCTCAGCAGGAGTAGGCTTTGGCCAGTTAGGTGTATAACTTGAGAAGTACTTTGGGATCCTGTAGGACAAAGGCTATATTATTATCTATAAAAATCTACACAAAAATATCTTTGAAAAACCATGCAGACAGGAAAATTAATCACTAACAAATTCAAGACAGGCCAGAATGAAGGTTGCCTGTGCAACACTAACCAGAGCCTCTTTATGTATTTTTACCCAGTTTTACCTAGTATCACAGAGAAAGTCTGCCAGGGCCAAGAATTCTGGGTTCTGATTCCATGCCTTAAACATGGAAATATCCATATACCTCTCATCACCCTTTCCCTCATTTCGTTATCCATCCAAGGCCTTAAGGGAAACTGGGACCTTGTAGAACAAAAGCGTATGTTGGTGGTTTGCAAGACCCGACTGGGCAAAGTCTTGAGCAACCCAGCCTGAGTTGAAGGTTGCGTCTGCTTTGAGCAGGAGGTTGCACTAGACACCTCCCAAGGTCCCTTCCAACCTGAGTTACTCTGTGATTCTCTGTGACTAAACTGATACGGCTTTAGGTTGCCATACTTAACACCATACTTACCCTTAAGTGGTTTATGAGCAATTGTTTTCATCATCATTCTAACATATCATTATACAAAGATGGAGAAGTTTTATGGTATCCTTGCGTGTAAATGCATTAACATTCTGATTGCAACCATAAGGCATAGGTCCCAATACCAAACTGAGATGCAACCACCAATCTGAATACTTTCTGTCACTAGCCTACCACTGTTCTGGCAGCATCAAACATCACACGCATACATACCAGTGTATTTCTGATAAAACCTTTATATCCACCATTCAACAATCCAGTTAGAGGACTGCCAGAAGTTTTGAATGCTATTGAACTGGCACGATGAAGGCACATTTCAATAGCAGGAAATTGAAATAGTGTGGTCAAGGCAAACTAGATCACGTTCATCCATCTTTTATCTCCAGTTCAAGCAACCTGATAACCAGTCATGGCTGAACTAAGGGGAAGTAGGTGTCAGGGCAAGTTTACTAGGAGGCTTGAACTTCTGTCTTTAGATTGACAGATATTACAACAGCTCTTCCACCATGTTTCTATTCCAGCTGTCTTCTCTCCAGGAAATTGCTTCATCCTTAACGATACATAAAACAAACAAAACCCCTAGCAAACTGCATGGTTCCCAGGGTATTACCTGCCAGCTATCTGATATTATTCTTTGGTATAATACATAATTTCCTTTGACCCTCAGTGCCTGTGATATTCACTTGTATCAACCTGAACCATCTTCTGCAGAAATCTTCCTTAATTTCTCTTTAATGTTTCTACATTCCAGGCTCACCAGAATTTGCGAGTCCAGGGGACTTCAAACCTGCTTTAACCTATAGTGTTGGAAACCTTTTCTTTCACCTATGCTTGCACAAGAAGCAACACCTCACTGTTTCTTTTACTGATGAGAATGTCTCTGCAGTGGGGATGGGCCAAGGCCTGTCCTTGCCTTTACCTTCCTTGAAGTATTTTTTCTCTGTGAGCTTGCCATGCATTTGGATATGTAGTTGTGTTCACAGCCAGTCAGTCAGTCCTATAATACTGGGTATGTACCTACATGAGTATAAGTTTGCAAAAACAAGTGGGTAGTATAGGTAACAATGTAGGACAAATCCTTCATGGCTAATACTATTATTCCCCACAATCCTATCTTGTACTCTTTATATCTGGTTCATAGTCACTTTGCAAGCATCCTAAATTCCCCTGAAGCATTCCAGCAATTAAAATCTTCTCAGCCAGTCCTGTATCTTTCCTCTTCTGTGTTATTCATGTCAGTTTAGACAGAAGTACCCTTCTGCCTTACCAAACCGTGGACACTTTCCCAGCATGCAGGA